GGTAATCAATGGTTAAGTCAAATTTTTTTACAGAATTTTTATACACAACTATGGAGGACATTTGACAGTTGGTAATCAAAAAAATTTAAAAAATGCTGACATTGAAATTATTGCTTTATGCAACCATATGATATTACGAAAAGTTGATGTGGATATGTTTCTTGCAAAAGCAAATCATTCACGAATATTGCTAAGGACGAACAGTACACAGGTCTGTTAACTGAACTGTGCTGTTCGCCGAGTGCCATCACTTTGGCAGTACTTACTTTACTTTAACTTTTCAGATACACAGTTACAAAATAATAAATATTGAAAAAAAATTTTTTTTTCATATACTAGTTTCTTTTTTTTTTGGCTTTTTTTCAGCTAGCTGCTGTTGCCGATTCTCATAATGTTGAAGTTATTGGCGGTTATACAGATGTTTTAATCGCCACTGGTAATGTCACGCTTAACATCAGTAACTATTTTGGTTCTGTTGCAACAACACTGCTTCCACCACTCCATTTTCCACGAGACAGTTCATCACATTTTGATCATCAATATAAAACTGGCCTTCCATCAATGACCACCAGTTTAGTAACACTAGAAATACCATTTAATCGAACAATTTCTACAACGTTATCTCAGCTAACTAATGTCAAAGTTACAATTCCAGAATATCAGCTTATAAATTCAGAAATAAATTCTACGTCAACTGTGGTTGCTGATACTGTCAGTGATGCCAGTACAAATGGCATTGATCAAATGGGCTATACAACAACAGAAACAATAAAGTTTGTTACTGGAATAACAAATGCAACAGTCAATTTTAATTATACTGAATTTAACAGCACAACAATATTTGAAGACATTTCCACTAATGATAGTTTTACTAATCAACTGTTTACCTCTAAGCCTTTCATAAATGTCACAACAACATCCACAGCATTCAATCATTTATTTCCTACTACAGTTGACACTAATACAAACATAAATATTGATACTAATACTACTGTTAATACTAATACTAATACTCATACTAATACCGATACTGATACTAATACCAGTGTTGATACTAATGCTAATACTACAGCAGCAAATTATTTGCCAACATCAGAATCGATTGCAGCAACTGTACAGAATCTAACTTTGCTGCTAAACAATGGTTAACTAATTACTCTATAAAACATTTGAGCATTTGTTTCTTCTGTAAAAAAAAAAAATACTTAACTTTTTAAAATTATAAATATATTTTTGTTGTTACTTTTTTTTCTATTTAAAAAAATATCTGTTTTATTTGTCGCAGCAATTAGCGGTTTAACAAATTTTTAGAAACGGATTATATTGTTTCTACAACAACTGCAACAGTATCGGTTAGTTTACCAGAAAGCATAGACGACCAACTGTCAACAGTGTCAACGCGGCTGATTATCGACAGTGACAATGACGATCGTTTAACTGCTTCAACAGCTTCAACACTTCTAAACGGAACACGTAAGTTTCAAAAACTGTAATCGAGTTTAAGAAGCTTAATGGCTTGTGTTTCTTTTTTAGACATAAAATGACTGAGACTATTTAGACTAACGGTTTTTTTAATGAGGCTACCAGTCCCAATTAGAGCCAAAATAACATCATAGTAAAATAGCAGAATGTTTTAAGCACACACAGCAACATTTGCTTTAGTAAATTTTTTCAGAAGTGTTAACCGAAATTTCAGCTTTACTGGTCACCCCATCAGTTTACACTGTGATTCCACAACAAGTATCACTGCCAAATACTCTTATCGATGTATCTTTAGGTATCACTCATCTGTTACAGCATTGCAACCAGTTAAACACTTCAAGTCAGATATTGAACGAACAAAACGATAAAAATAATACAAAAAAAAAAAAAAAAAAAAA